TGTTCACCAACTGAAGAAGGACAACGCACATCAAAAGACCAATACACGTTGACAGTGAAGGCTGTGCCTGACGTCCACGCTTGGGGTGATACCATAAACTCAACTAGACACATGCATAAACAATCCATTGTGGAAGAATATAACTGATACATGACCTGTTAAACCAGCGAAACTTGTTGCTGCAATCTAACGGAGTGATGCAAGCCAATGACAAGACGCCCAAAACGTGCCATATAAAACAAAACGTTTCATTTTCCGTGACTCGCTTGGACGCTCGGCATGTTTCTATTATATATTTATGGAAAAGGTTTGCTCAAACATGGCTCAAAGGCAGCTGTCCTTGGCTTTCAGCGCCGGAAACTGTAGAAGGGTCGTGAATAATGTCCAAAATCACGTCTTACGCTCGCGCAGATTATGACAAGGGAACACATTTGTCCTTACGCTACATTATAATTACTAACGGGACGCCATCATCATATGTATGCATCATTATAATAATCACACGGGCAGGTGAATACTCACGACAGAGCTGAAATTGGTGTTGATGAAGCCTGGTGCCACCGCGTTGACCCGTATGTTCTTGGGCGCACACTCCTTAGAGTAGACCTGGCTTACGCCGAGCAGAGCCATCTTGCTGACCGAGTAGGCGGCCAGCATCTGTCGGAGCAGCGCGGGACGATGGTGCCGAATGATGGCCACGCTAACAGCCGGCAGGGAAAACGCGTGGACACCCCCGTGGATGACTGCCAAGGTATATATAACGACAGATATAAGATAAATCTCGTGAAACCAGATCCACTAGCAGCTTCAACACCAAGACAGTGCTGTTTCTGAGGTGTTATAGCCCTTTCCATCCAGTACATAGCCTGGGATAAGGGTCGGCTCGGGAAATACCGGCCGGCGGCGCACACTGACCGAGTTAGGGATCACACTGACCGAGTTAGGGATCACACTGACCGAGTTAGGAATCACACTGACCGAGATGGGGATCACACTGACCGAGTCACGGATCACACTAACCGAGTCAGGGATCACACTAACCGAAATAGGGATGGCACTGACCGAGTTCGGGATTTGGCCGAGCACAGAGGCGATGAAGACGATGGAGCCGCCACCGCGCTGCTCCATGTACGGCACCACCAGCTTTGTCAGCAGGTACGCTGACTTGACATTCACGTCGAAGATCTTGTTCCAGCCGGCCTCCGGGCACTGACGAACGGCAGGCGTCAGCTCAAGGCCAGAGACTCAAGCAACGACAGGCTTCGGTTCAAGGCCAGAGACTCAAGCAACGACAGGCGTCGGCTCAAGGCCAGAGACTCAAGCAACGACAGGCGTCGGCTCAAGGCCAGAGACTCAAGCAACGACAGGCGTCGGCTTAAGGCCAGAGACTCAGGTAACGACAGGCGTCGGCTCAAGGCCAGAGACTCAAGCAACGACAGGCTTCGGTTCAAGGCCAGGGACTCAAGCGACGAGCACTGATATGAAGTGCAACATGATATGACTACACGTGCGTTTAATAGAACGTCAACAAAGACATCGTGGCTGGGTAGCACTCGACGGCTACCCAGATCAGGCGATTCACCACGCGGACAGGTACTCACGTCAAGGAGACCGCCAAACACTGGGTTGGTGGCCGCGTTGGACACAAGGATATCGATACCACCATACTTCTCCAGCGCCTGCAACATAGAACAGACAGTGGTGGCTAACGCGTAGACACGGGGAAGTAAAGTAAGCGGTCTGCTCTGGATGAACAACTTAAGAACTGACTGGACAAAAGTAGCTATATGGATACGTCGGCAGATAACGCATGACTGAAATAATAGGTCGCTGGTCAACATTGCACGTCACTGTGGCCACGACATAGTTGAGTATTTGTCCGATGATGACCAAGAAATGTTGATATCGGGATAAGAAATCAGCAAGTTAAGCTTTACCCACTAAATCCAGAAGCAAAACACCCAGCAGAGTACATGCAGGCCCAGGAGAACAGCATCGTTAAACATTAACACGTGCCCGGGTGGCCGACTAGATACCCTTCACTCGGGTGGGGGGGGGGGGGGGAGGTCAATTTGACCCCCCTGAGATCTCTGGAACTAAGAACGCCACAGACACCAAATTTTCAGGGTGTGTTGACCTGTACGAAAACTCACATAGGCTAAATTTCCAGGTTTCTAGGTCATGACCTTCGGGTCAAAAAAGGTCAAACAAGGTCAAGTCCCAGGTTGGTCTCCAAAGTGCCCCCAGAACCTAGATTTCTAAGCAAAATGTCACATTCTCATTCATGGTCAGTGACATTGTTTGGCCTTTTAAAGGTCAAGGTGACCAAAATCGTACAAGATTGCTTTGAGTTTTGCATTTGACTAAGCAACAAAGATTATACTGGGCAGTATGTCCCTAAAACAAAATGTTGACCTGGGTCATTTTAGATCAATGACCTATTCTGACCTCTAAGAAGTCCATGGAAGATGTATGATGCCATTCCTGCTACCAGTAAACTCGAAATGAGCACCAGAAACTATTCCATTCAGCAAGCCCTAGAGTAACAAAACAGGTTTGTGTAAACCTTGGTGTGACCTTTATACCGGACCTCAGGTCCGTGTAATTTGCTCATTCAACTGTTGTATTACCTAAGAAAGCATCTCAGAGATGTATGGCTTTGTCTAACACTCCGTTGTTTGATCAGATTGAAGGATTCCCTAAAAATTGCCTTCGACCTTGTGTGTGAGTCAATGTATGTCAAAAAAATGTCAGCAACCTTACAAGGTACATATAAATTTTTGATGCCAAACGATCCGCTATTCAATTGTCACAGCTATGCAAAATTTGGCGCGGCTACGCCGCGCCGTTTGGAAACCATTCTGGAAAAACCTTCGGGGGGGGGGGGGGTCAATTTGACCCCCTCCCGAGCGCGTGTTAATATTCACCATGTGAATGCCAAGGGGCCAGCTAAGGGGTCACCTAAAGGATGATGGTCAATACCAGCCTATCTTAGTGACGCCTGTGATCCCCTTTTGATTGGAGTACGGTTTTCAGAGAGCCGACCACTACCTGGTCCACATCCCAGCGAAGCACTGTGGCCTGCCTCACCCGCTCCACGAGTGCCTGCCTCTCTGACGGGTTGCCCACATGACACTTGACGCCGGACACTTCCAGGCCCTCCTCGCTGAGCGCGCTGACTGTGGCATCCACGTTCTGCTGGTTGCGGCTGCTGACGACCACGCGCGCGCCATCGCGGCCCAGCCGACGCGCGATCGAAAGGCCAATCCTGTGTAGGTGCGGCCCCACACAGGAACAGTCACTGATACTCAGGGCATTTGGTGCAGAGCTTGAGACCAAGTATGTGGGCATGTATGGGGAGCACACATGTGCCTACAGACATGATCATACATGTGCACAAGTAGTACAGAGAGATACACAATTCATTGGTCATTACACTGTGAGTTGGGTGTTGCTTTTCAGACAATTTGGCACAAGCACCAACATTTACATTTGTTACATTACCTACACAATTATTGACATACTGCAAATCTGTCCGCACACTATTCAAATTTGCACTCCAACTCAAAACAAAAGCAAGATACAGGATGAATCAAACAGCTCACATATGATATCTATCTATTACAAACATACATAAATTTCTGACATACATGAATGTCAACACTATTTGTAATGTGACATGAACACAAGTTACAAACTTTACAGAAAGGCAGAGCCATTGGGTAAACAAAACTAAAAAAACAATTTTTGCATGGATCAGCTTCCACAATTATGGACTTCTAATCTGCTTTACCTTCATTTATCTGCTTTGCCTTTATTCAGTTCAAATCACAACATATTTTAGGGCAGAACAAGGAAACATGACAAAACAGCACCATGTATGTGAAACAGTCATCAAAATATCTGGCCTATCTTAGATTATTGATAAGATTTATGCTTGGTAAGGAACAGTGCCTTCTCATTGGAGGCTTAATGCATTGTGCCACATTGACACTTTTACTCTAACAGAAACCACAAAAATATTATACCCTGCTGTTGATGCTGTGACAATTGCTACTTTTCCAGCAAGCTTGGATGCCATGGTGCTCTGCCAGGACCTGTGAAACATATATTTATGCATGCATGAGGATTTTGCATGGAACCACAGCAACACATATCATGCATTCTCACATTGGGTGGACCAAAGCAAATATGGGATGGAACAACATAGGAACTGTGATAAAATCTGGACAATCTGGACTGGATGCATCCCCATGCCCTACTGCACATGCCATACTTGCACATCCAGTCTCCAGGCTGCGGTGATGTTAATGTAATGCTGACATTTACATGGCTACATTGGACACAAAATGGCCTAGGCAAGTATGCTTAAATTTTCAGTTGTCATCAGGTGCTTTCCACAACAGCAGTGACAGCTGTGACTGATAAACATTTTAGGAGAGGGTCCATTACAGTTCATAATGGAGCTCGGCTTGTGCCGTTCGGCATACAGCAATGAAGAGGGGCTTTTCAAAGCTACCTTACACTTATCTGGCTCCTTATTTGTCCAGACAAATCACAAAAAGTGCATAAAAACCACAGCAAACCCACAGCCGGCTCGATGACTGTTCCAACACTGCACGTATCCTGCTACGTATGTATGCTCTGGTGCAATCCACCAAAACTATTAGACGGTTTCCTTGCGATCTGACGCTGTGTTCAGCCTGGTCCAATTCGCCGTGAATAAATGTCCCTGCTGCGCTAGATTTGTCCCAACTTTCGAACCACTGAGAAAATTGAACTTTTTATTGCATTTCAGAGAATAGTTTTGCTTAAAAAGATAATATGACGTTCAAAACTTTTTATAATATTTTTGATAAACACTTATTGTACAAGAAAATCATGTAAAAGTGATCGCTGGCTCTATTTATTGAAAAGACGTCATTTAACACTTGGTGAAGTAAGCACATTTATTTTCGGCGTACCTTGTAGCCATCCCGGAATCAGGTGGCTCGCGCATCCATATCCGTGCACCAAACGCCAATCATTTGCGGGGGATATCTGCTTATTTATATATCTTCCTAGGTCTGTACCACTTGGGATCTGTGCAAGGAAGAAATTTACAAGGTACTTGTCAAAGCTCACAGTATGGGTCACACTGGGAATGCGATGGAGCTATTATTTACCCCCGCTTTTGTAGCTTAGTTCACTTTTACATTATTTTACGCCGTGCCACCGTGACACCATTTGCTCAAAACGATTGCGGGAAGTTGGCATGAATGCTCTTTTTCGAGATGCGTGCTTTGCGTAATTGTGTCCTGTTTGGAAGGGTGGATTGAGCATTGGCTTTCGGATGGGGTCAAAGTTCATTTGGGGAGGGCAATGTGGAAGCTCCGATTTTGGTGTGAGTTGCACTGGGGTTGAACGATCACAATACACATTGAGGTGTTTGCATAAGTTTGTTAAGACAGAGTGTAGCTATTATGAGACCTGATTTTGCCTGTTTAGATTATCAGTGGACCAATATATTCCCAGAAGCTACTTCTATCAGGTCCATTCATGTAAATGTACATTCATGCCCTGTGCGACACTCATTGAGATGCCGGTGTCCTGTGGGTTTGATCATTCTTACTGCATCAGTGCAAGCCTCCTGCAGTAAATGGTTGAGATAAAGTGTTGTCACATTGTAATCACTCAGCTTTCCATATTCATATACAGCCATGTTTATGAAATGGAGTAGCAAAGTTGTTCTTTGCTTCCATTGTCATGGGGATTACTTGGTGTGTGTGTGTGGAACATATGTGCTTAAGGCTTTTCATGAATGAAGTATTCCAAAGTTTTATATCTAGTACAGGCATGCAAATGTCAACATAGATGTTACATAAACAGGAAAGAGTTGCTACCCTTGTGTCTTCATGATGGATGTGTGACTAACAAAAGTATAAAATAAGAAAATATGCTAAAATGGTGAATATGATGTATTATATATTGAAAACTTATACAAAATATAATAGCATTGAAAAAATCAATGACTTAGGGCTTTCAGTAATATTCAGACAATCTTCCTGCAATGCTTTCCAGTAAGCCTGTTTAGGTAGACTGGAGCTCTAATATGGTCTGGTCAGAGTAAGTGAATACTGAGCACTGCCTCCATATTGAATATAACATAGCTATTTATATGATTTTTACTTCTGATACCTAGGATGCAGTTTTATTAAGGAAAAAGCTTATACAGCTATGTGAGCAGGAGTGTTCCACCATCTTTTTAGGTACTAGTTTGGTTTTAGGCTTGATGAGCACCTGGTCATAATAAGTTAAAATGCTACTTCTTTTGCACCAGAAGCCATCAAGTTGAGTGAGATGTTGCTGATTTGGGAACAGTTGTTTCTTTGGTACCCATAGCCCCTCTTTTGAATGGAAAGTTTTTTCTTGCTCATAACCACTGTTCTAAGTTGCAGAAATGCACAAACCATCCCTCTATATTGCTATGACCATCATACTATTGAAAATGACAGTACAGTTGCTATTATTTCTAGTCAAAAGAGCTATAGCTACTTTGCAACACTTTTGTGGAAAACTTATAGAATGGTCTTATCACCCTCCACATTATATGATTTGTTTACATGTGCAGACAGATCTCTAGCTAAGATTTGTCTAGTCAAGACTCTGCAAATGACTCACTAGTTAAGTGAACTGTGTCTGAGGTGTCAAGGTTTTACCATCTATTTAAGCTAGTTATTGGGCATTGTTGCATTGACTTATAGCATGGTCTTATCACCCTCCACGTTATATGATTTGTTTACATGTGCAGACAGATCTCTAGCTAAGATTTGTCTGGTTAAGACTCTGCAAATGACTCACTAGTTAAGTTAACTGTGTCTGAGGGGGTCAAGGTTTTACCATATCTTTAAGCTAGTTATTGGGCATTGCTACATTGTTAAGTTCATGTTTGCTAATTACCACCATTGCCAAGCAGTGATGCATCCTATGCATCACTTAACCACCACTGTGATTCAAGACTGATGCTCATTTGCTCCCTCTGCCTTCAAAGCAGAAGAGAAGTCCATGTTAACACTCAACTGATACTGGGGGGACGTGGGGCCAATGCACACCTAAGGTTTTTTAAGGACACCTCTCCAGCATCATGTGCAATCATGCTCAAATGTTTGGTGGCCCATGGTGCATTTATTGCACATGTTTAAATGCCAGAAACATGTCCATGGCATTCCTGGTTTCAGAGCAGCAGCAGTTTTTCGGGTTTGATAATCCGCGGCCTGCACGTCTGGCGGGTGGCAACCGAGTATGCCACTGTGTGCGCGGTCGGCCGATATTGTTACATTAGTGGTGCCATATTAATAGTTGATCAAAACACAAAGCTATGCACAATTGTGTTCGCAACTGATCGTGGAACACACCTGTTCAGGTTGTGTGTCACTTCAGTGCATGACACATGTGTGAGGTAAAGCTGAAAAATATGGTTTTGGGAAAAGTTTGACCTTTGGCCTGGCATAGAATGGGGAAAATTATTGATCTAACAAAAGAAAATATATTGCCAATCGCGAGATCTCGTTGCGATCAATCCACTAGTTTTTTCTGCTGAGCTCAATCTAAGTTTGGAAACGACGGGGGAGGGGCGGGGGAGGGGGCGCACCGAAACTCCCCCTGTAAGTCAGCGTAATGAAAAACAACGAATCAGGGAGAGGGCTAGGTCACCACTCAAGTAAAAGTGCTGCAAAACCTGTTGGGTTCTTGGAAAACGGGACAATCGTTTGGATTTTCTCTGAGTGATGCGTAACCCCTTCAGTGTGGTGCTCTAGGCCCAACCCTGTGTATTTTTACTGTGTTGTCCCAGATGAATAGTTTCACAGGTAACCGATATGCGCCCGGGTGGACGGTTGAATGTGACATGCTCGGATGGGGGCGGGGGCAATTTGGCCCCCTGAGCCTTCCAAAATTGAGGATGTGAGATGCAAAATTAGCAGGGTAAGTAGGGCTCTATGTGAACTTGTTTGTGTCAAATTTGAATCAGGTCATTGGCCGTATTTGACATTGGAAGGTAATGACCAGAAACGTTCAAGATCATTTTCTTATTTGAAGCCGCGAACGGCGAAAAAATGCAAACCCCATACAGCGTGCTATGCAAAAATAGTGTGATCGAGGTCATTTGAGATCAGTCACCACCATGGCCTTCATGAAGTCAAAGGAAGAAATCTTAATGTCATTGTTATCCAGGAGTTCAAGGTGCCTGCAAAAATCTTTCGCTTAAAGCAAGTTTTCCAGTAGCAGAGCTATCCGGTTTGGCCTTAATCTGGTTTTCGTAATTGACCCATGGTCGATGGAATTAGTCGCCTTCCTAATTTCAGTTGTCTTATCGTGTAAGAAAGCATCCCAAAGTTTGATGGCTTTGTCTAACTCGGCGTTGTTGCATCATTTTGTGCGATCCCCTGTAAACCACTTTCGCTGACAGAAACGACCTGACTCATCTGCTCTAGGTCCGCAGCCTTATGAGGTTTATCTAATGTTTCGATACCAAGACCTAGGCTGTTTAAGGCTAATAATACTAATAATATGAAAATATGGTTTACAAATAATTAAGCTAAACAAGTAATAAAATGTTGATTAGTAATAATAATATCAAGGCTTTTTGATCGCGTGCGGCTCAGCAATGTTTGGTTTGCGCTATTCGGAAGTTAGTCTGGAAAAAACCTCCGGGAGGACGGAGGCAGTCAACTATTGACTGAATGTACAACCTTGTCATATGGTGTGAACCTTCATGTTTTCCTTTTATGAGGTATTCTTTTTTATTGTTTTTCTTCGATCCGTTTATGAATATCAGCATTCCAACATTTTTGTATCAAATTAAAAAACGCTGTCAGTACCATAGGACACAGCAATAGCATCACACATCATTATCGCATCACACACATCATCCTTACTCTCATTGTCACCTCACATACATGCCAGGTTTCCGAAAACACTTCGTCTATCAACACTCCCGTTGTGTAACTTGATCTGATATCCCCCACCCGCATTCCTTCACCCTTTCCCACGGCCACAACAATGTCCCTGTCATTCTGGTGTTCGCGTTTCGTCGGTTCCCGTTTTTGTCGTCCTAGTTTAGTTTGACCATTGTGTACGAGATCTCGCCACGTTTGCTAAATTCTTTCATTTTTTAAAATTGTTATGGGCAGTTAACCAGTGACCTCTAAGTAGCGGCTTGCAGTCTACTTAAGAAAAACCCAAATAACCTGTTTTTACACCATGGCCAGACAAAGCCTGAGTTTCACGTAACAATATCACTTGACCGTATCATTTGATCAATGTGATAATTAACTTGTATGCATGGCAGCCATCCAAAAATCCTGAAAAGGCAATTGGCACTTTACAAATTTATCTGACAATTAATTTGATGTACCCATATGTACCATACTGCTTGACAATCATGCAATAAGTGGTACATTGTGTCAGCCACATTACAATAAAGACACTCTGGGCTACCTTAACATTTTTATAATGCACAAAAATCGCCTAGCGGAAAATAGCGTTGCAGAATTCAGTAAGTGAAGTTTTGTGCATGTCAAATAACAATAAGGACTTATATATTTATGCCCAATTTTCCAGATACATTGTACGACATTACTGTAGCAGCTAGTTGCTTATTGGATAGCAAAAAAATTTGCATTTCACAATGTAAAAAGTGCTTGGGTTTCCAGTAGGGGTAAAGTCTCATTCAGTTTCAGGTTTCAGGCCCACCCCCTGACTTTGAGAAGAAAGTGGGTCAAATAATGGGAGTGCCTGTTTTTCCTACATTTTAGGGGCGAGTCTAGCCATATGCTCCTCCTCAGCGCGCCCCCCCCCCCCCACACGCACGCACGCACGCACGCACGCACGCACGCACGCACACGCACACGCACACGCACACGCACACGCACACGCACACGCACACGTACACGTACACGTACACGTACACGTACACGTACACGTACACGTACACGTACACGTACACCTACACGCACACGCACACGCACACACACACACACTCCCAACTTATCATGCAAAACTACCTTGCTGGGTTGCAAAGTGGGTACCTGGCAGGGTCTTCTTGTCTTGTGGTAAGCACCAGCTTCAGGTTGTGCCTCACCATTTGTTGGGGACTTCATCACTCTGTCCATTTGGTAATAGGTGTCAGGTTCTGCCCATTTGGTAGAGGGTGAAGACATTGGTCTTCATGCTGTACAGTCTTAGACACATCTCAGGAATGCTGGGAACTTAGCAGGAACTACTATGTGCTCCATGCCACCTGCCGCTTATACGGATCACCTGGCGCTAGCAGAGATGTTGCATGATGCTTATCCTGACAGCTCTATCCTATGCTCTCTCCCAGGGGAAAGATGACGGGGCGGAAGTCGGACCCGACCATCGTCCACCTGGTGTGGGATGCCATCCAGAGCTGCATGACCCAGCGCCAGCAGCCCAACTTCGAGAGGGTATCCAAGCATATCATGCGCTTCAACAGCATATCACCTGGTGAGCGAGCTGTTCTGGTTGTGCTGGGAAGCAAGAGAGGGCAGCCGAGGACAACGCGCAACATCAGCGCTGCCAAGATTATGCGGAGTGTTGAATGCTGCTGCGTGCGCAGATGGAGGCTCACCATGTCCTCTGTCGATGGGAACTCTAGTGTGGTCTGATTGCGCCCAGTGGTGGTGTTATGAGCTTCGTGTTTTCGAGTGAGGGCGTTTGTTTTCGTCCGCAGATGTGATCGAGGACGAGCTTTCTAAGGTGGTGGACGATGGTTTGGTGCGGTTCGTGCAACGGCTGGGAGCCAAGGGATCGAAGAAGGGAGAAGAACAAGAACTGTATAAACTGCCCAAAGGACCCGTGAGTCAGATTGGGCATTGGGTGGCGCTAGCGGTAATATCTTTTTGTTTTGTCTTGTTAGATGTACTTGTGTGAGTGTTATTTGAACTCGGCTGTTTATAAAAGAAAGTAGTATAAAGCTCTCAGATTTCTGTTGGTACTGTGCAGCTGGTGTGTTCCTCAGTAGAGTTTGGGATATGTCTTTCTGCACATGAGAATCAACCTGGTTATGGTCATTGGCGTGGTGCTACCGCACATCGCCGCCGAGGAAAGACTGGCATTTCGCATTCCAGTCCTGGGACTCATTTCACCGACTTCCATCGCCTTCCTGGCGAGACCCGCCGCCTTGTCGAGACCTGACGTGACCTGTGGTCTAGTCCTGGCCTGCCTGACCTTAGCTGACCTGCCGCCTTGTCGAGGCCTGACGTGACCTGTGGTCAAGTCCTGGCCTGCCCTGACCTCAGCTGACCTGCCGCCTTGTCGAGGCCTGACGTGACCTGTGGTCTAGTCCTGGCCTGCCTGACCTCAGCTGACCTGCCGCCTTGTCGAGACCTGACGTGACCTGTGGTCCAGTGTTGGCCTGCCTGACCTTAGCTGACCTGCCGCCTTGTCGAGACCTGACGTGACCTGTGGTCAAGTGTTGGCCTACCCTGACCTGAGCCGACCTGCCGCCTTGTCGAGGCCTGACGTGACCTGTGGTCAAGTCCTGGCCTGCCCTGACCTCAGCCGACCTGCCGCCTTGTCGAGGCCTGACGTGACCTGTGGTCCAGTGTTGGCCTACCTGACCTTAGCTGACCTGCCGCCTTGTCGAGGCCTGACGTGACCTGTGGTCCAGTGTTGGCCTACCTGACCTTAGCTGACCTGCCGCCTTGTCGAGGCCTGACGTGACCTGTGGTCCAGTCCTGGCCTGCCCTGACCTCAGCTGACCTGCCGCCTTGTCGAGGCCTGACGTGACCTGTGGTCAAGTCCTGGCCTGCCCTGACCTCAGCTGACCTGCCGCCTTGTCGAGGCCTGACGTGACCTGTGGTCAAGTCCTGGCCTGCCCTGACCTCAGCTGACCTGCCGCCTTGTCGAGGCCTGACGTGACCTGTGGTCCAGTGTTGGCCTGCCTGACCTTAGCTGACCTGCCGCCTTGTCGAGGCCGGACGTGACCTGTGGTCAAGTCCTGGCCTGCCTGACCTTAGCTGACCTGCCGCCTTGTCGAGGCCGGACGTGACCTGTGGTCCAGTGTTGGCCTGCCTGACCTTAGCTGACCAACCGCCTTGTCGTGGCCCGACCTGGCCTGTTTGTCCGGTGCCGAGCCTGAGCGGCGCTCCTCCGGTAGCCGGCGCCGAGCGAGCACGACTGGTACTGCGCCAGCTGTCACCAGCCCGGCGAGCTGCTGGCCTGCTCCGGCTGCCCATCCGCCCGCCACAGCAAGTGTCTGACGGAAGCCGAGCGTCAGACGCCCTTCACCTGCCCACAGTGTCAGGTGAGCTGGCATCCCAGGCGAGGGCGGCACGTCTGGAGAGCGGCAGGACACACAACACCCGTCTGTACTCCCGGCACATTGTACACCCATCCATATGCCCGGTCATTTCTGCTTTAATAGGTTGGCAGTAACGCTTGAAACTTGCTTTAGTTGCCAGATGGTCGCCAGGTAACGAAGCGTTTTCTTCGGCCAGGTATTGTTCAGTGCGATTTACTCATTCAGTCATTCGGCTGCTTCGGCTCCCCTCGGTGGGTTGGCCACTGCACGTGCTTTTTCAGATGGCCGCAGCGGAGCAATGTGATATCAAGAAGAAAACACTCAACACGCTTTTGGGGTACACCGTTCTTCGCCTTAAAGCAAGGGTAAGGCCCTGTGAAATTAGTTAGGCTTCTGTGTTGTGGTCTGCTCAGCCCCTCGACCCTGTCACCGAATATTTAAACAATGTGTTAGCTGCTCACAAGTGCGCGCCAGCGTCTCGTAGAATATGTCGCCCACGATGTCTGTTGCTAGATTTTGTGCATGCTTCCAAGCAAGAAATACCAGAGTGCTCTTATTTTTTCATGTGTGTATTTCTCTTTCTGTTTTTTTTTTTTGAACAATTTGATCAAACAATAGTGGGTATCTTTGAATCACAGTGTTACCTGGCTATGATTTCACCCGTCCCATTGTCTTTCAGCCAGTGCCGACATGTGCTGCCCTACTCTGACGTCTCCTATCTGGCCTCCAGCCTGTCCCATCTGGTTCTTTGAGCAGATGACGTCACGCTGTCCACGTGCCCGCGTTCCCCCAGCTGGTACTGCCCGGTCTGACGACGGGAGCAGAGCCCCTGCCTCGGTGTGTCTGCCGCGTGCGTCTGTCTGTCACCGCGCGCCGCCGGCCACCGCGGCTGGCCTGCGGCGTGCGGTGGCCGGCCGCCACCCCGGCTCAGACCGCCGTCTGACCGGCCGCCGGGCGCTCCCCGTCAGATGCTGCCGCTGACGGCGGAGGACGCCGGCGTGCTCTCCCCCAGCTCGGACCCCGAGCAGCGCTTCCGCACCGCCTACCTGCTCTACCGGCCGCTGGAGATCTTCGACATCGAAGACAAGCTTGACAGACAGGTGTGAATGGACGCGGACAGGGGCCAACCCGGGCCGGGACTTCCTTAGGAGCGGCTCACAGATCCAGCGTCGCTCGTAAACAGTTCAGCGTGATTGCGCATGAGAACATCCAACGCAAGCTGGGAGTTCTGACTGCGATGAATGCTGTGTTTCGCTTTGCTATGCAACGGCGGCGATTTCAGGTAAAATGTGGTATGCAAAGGCGTTAAGCTGTGATTTGAACTGAACACCTACCTTCTCGCTTTAGGTGTACAGCAAGCTGTCGGAGTTTGAAGGTGACGTGCGGTTGATGGTGCACAACATTATCGTCATGAACGGAGGTACGTGGTGTTAGCTTGCACGTGTAAGGGTGCACAGGGTTGTGCTCCATAAAACAGCCTTCACAGCTTGTGGTCTAACAGTTTTCTTGTGTTGACATATGAGCCAGGAAAATAACTGACCGCGAGGGTGCGTGACGAAACGTGCGTTCTCGACGATAACCAACACAGATGCCATGCGGCGGGTCTGCTGATCACAGATCAGCTGCGGGCACGCACTGCCACCACCCTGCACCGCTGCGGGCACGCACTGCCACCACCCTGCGCCGCTGCGGGCACGCACTGCCACCACCCTGCGCCGCTGCGGGCGCGCACTGCCACCACCCTGCGCCGCTGCGGGCACGCACTGCCACCACCCTGCACCGCTGCGGGCACGCACCGCCACCACCCGACGCCCGTTGTTAACGCAAAAATCATCTAGCAGTGTGAAGAGTAACTTTGAGCGTCATGTTATTGCCGCATATCAAATCAAAATGCACCCCACGTGCTCCCCACTGCACACACACACACACACACACACACACACACACACACACACACACAACGCACGCACGCACGCACGCACGCACGCACGCACGCACCACGCACGCACGCACGCACGCACGCACGCACGCACGCACGCACGCACGCACGCACGCACGCACGCACGCACGCACGCACGCACGCACGCACGCACGCACGCACGCACGCACGCACGCACGCACGCACGCACGCACGCACGCACGCACGCACGCACGCACGCACGCACGCACGCACGCACGCACGCACGCACGCACGCACGCACGCACGCACGCACGCACGCACGCACGCACGCACGCACGCACGCACGCACGCACGCACGCACGCACGCACGCACGCACGCACGCACGCACGCACGCACGCACGCACGCACGCACGCACGCACGCACGCACGCACGCACGCACGCACGCACGCACGCACGCACACACACACAGATATATATATATATATATATATATATATATATATATATATATATATATATATATATATATATATATATATATATATATATATTCATTTCTGTGGGCTGACTGATCAGAAACTGCAGGTCAGTATTGAGAAATAATGGAAGAGCACGGATTCCACTATTGATTGCGCAATGGCGGTGACCTCCAGCAAGCGATAAAGCGTTATTAACCGCAGTGAAATCAGGATGTACTGCATGTATAGCGTACTGCCTATGCCTTGGGGACAAAGCAAAGCCGCGTCAACCGCTCTGACTACTGCAGGATGGTTTCAAATGTCTGCAAGTCTTGAAAGTGTCTACAGTTCATGCTTTGTGTCTGAATCAGTCTTGGCACACGCTGCCGAGGACGGTGGTCCGTTTCCGGCCTCGCTGTTGCCCCGGCGCTCATGGAATGCTGGTCGGTGGCTTTGGCCGGCAGCGGAGTCGCAGGCGGCGGCGGTGGCCGGCCAGGTGCTGCAGGACTGTCTGCATGACGTCCAGGAGATCCGCATCTGCCGCGATTGCTACCGCATGTCCAACGAGAAGCCCGGCAAGAACTGGTTCTGTCGGCCCTGCCGGCCGCCGCACGAGCTCGTTTTCGCCAAGCAGAAGGGCTACCCGTTCTGGCCCGCCAAGGTAGGCGGCACGGCGCGGTGTCGGGGGATGTGCGACCCTGGACCAGAGGCGACAGGAGATGTGCGACCCCGGACCAGAGGCGACACAGCGTCCGCTGCAGAGTTGGCTCACGGCAGTGTCTGGTGGGCTGACAGCTGAAAACTGGATGTTGATATCGACTTACTTTGGTATGCACGTTGTTCACGTGTATCTTACGAGCAACGCTAAACTAGTTCATCACATTTTATTGTTATATTTAGTCCAAACATGTGCATTGGATTGACTTCTGCGATCGGAGTTCGCACGAAGCAGTGCTTGTTTGGTGAACCCTGATCCCACCATCCGATCGTACATTGTAACTCAACGGACAAAATTGTGTGGCGAGGGTTGAACGTGCTACAGTGTTCGGGACGGTCCGCCCCGCCCTCCGACCTCATCTTACCTTGGGCTGCTGCTGCTGCCGGCCGTAGGACATCCAGCGAGGGGCTAATGATGAGCGTCGAAGCGACTTGAACCCAGCTATCCGGCCGCGGGTAGGCTGGGAGGTGGGCGCCCTAACTGATCTAGCCACGGAACATGCTCCCTCCCGCTGCTCGTGTGTTGACTCTCGCATAGCTCGCTCGTCTGTGCGTTAGTCACGGTTGGAATCGGACGAGCAGCGCACAAACAAGCTCGTCCGGCTCGTCTTTGCGTTGCTGACGCGACTTCACGCCGCGAGACTCTTGTGCCCGCAGGTGATGAAGACGGAGAACGACATGTCTTTGCGTTGCTGACACCGACTTCACGCCGCGAGACTCTTGTGCCCGCAGGTGATGAAGACGGAGAACGACATGTCTTTGCGTTGCTGACGCGACTTCACCCCGCGAGACTCTTGTGCCCGCAGGTGATGAAGACGGAGAACGACATGTCTTTGCGTTGCTGACGCGACTTCACGCCGCGAGACTCTTGTGCCCGCAGGTGATGAAGACGGAGAACGACATGTCTTTGCGTTGCTGACACGACTTCGCGCCGCGAGACTCTTGTGCCCGCAGGTGATGAAGACGGAGAACGACATGTCTTTGCGTTGCCGACACGACTTCACGCCGCGAGACTTGTGCCCGCAGGTGATGAAGACGGAGAACGACATGTTTGATGTGCGATTTTTCGGCGAGCCTCACGAGAGGGCGTTCGTGACGCGGGGGCAGATCCGGCCCATCACTACCTCGCTGCAGGCGCTACAGGTGCGGCGCGCTGCTGTTTGTCCCAGGCTGTGCATCGCCTATTTCCCATTGCTTATTGCCTCCGAAGCGCAGGGTTTGTCTATTTCTTCCTTTGCATGAACAGGGGACAAGAAGCGCTTCCGGTCACGCCCTTAGTGGTATTTAGGACCATTTACTCACCCTCGTGCTTTAAAATGAAGTGATAGTCTGGATAATCCCCGCTGAAAGAAATGAGAGAAACAGTAAGTTAGCAACGGAAAGCGGGTGTTTGAAACCACGCCTTTCGGCTTGTACTGATACATTCATGCTCATCTCTTTTTTGATCTCTCTTTTGTGCATGCGCTATGTTCCACCTTATAACTGTCTTCAATCATGCTCAACTTAACGAAGATGATCATTAAGTTTACCCTGGCCGGATGGTCTTATATTTATTATCAATATAGGCATGCATGATGTGTCGGTGTTTGGTTTCCTACGCGCCGCGTCACGTGTCGTCTGTCGGCGCCAGTGTATCGACAAGCCGGCTTGCTCCGCTGGACCGGCACCGCCGCGCTCCTCCGTAACACCGTGCCCGTCCCACCGCCGGCAGATCAAGCGAAGCAACCCCTGGACGCGCGCCCATGACGAGCTGAAGCGGCACCAGGCGCAGCTGCGCCGCGTGGAGGAGCAGCCGTCGCTGCTCAACTCCGACTCGGAGCCGGGACTCGAGTCAGAGCCAGAGTCGACCGACTCGCCGCTGCGGGAGGGCGCCGCCCCGCCTCCGACCAAGCGACGTCGCAGGGCCTTCGATCCGGACGAGGATGGCCTGGTCGAGGTCAAGGACTGCTCCATCGTCGTCCAGAAGGTGGAGAACGACAAGCAGGTGGGGAGAGCCTTTCCTTGTCGTTGTTGCCTGGTTGCTGCCGTCCAGCCGGCTTCCGTCGTGCCAGCGGTCATATCGTGTATTTACGTATTGTGCGTCAGTGGTCATGGTGTACACAACCGTCATCCATTCATTGGCGTGTGCCTGATCGCCTTGCTGCTCGCCCCGTCTCCCCTCCACCCCTGCTCTCGCCGCCCGCCAATTTTCCCCTCCTGCCCTCGTCGCCCGCCAATTCTCCGCTCCTACCCTCGCCGCTCGCCCTCCTCCTCTCCTGCTCTCTCCCCTCTCTCCTCCTCCTGCCCTCGCCGCGTGCTGAGCTCACACCGGCCACTCGGGCTGACGGGATGTGACAGTGGCGAGTGGTGTGACCGGACGCGCGCGCTCCACAGCCGGCCTGCCTGCCGTCGCCCGACGACCAGGTGACGTCATCGTGCCAAGAGCCACAGCCGCGCACCGTCGCCACCCAGACGCCGGCCAAGTTCCTGCGCACCGGCGCCACCGAGCAGCAACACGTAAGGCCACGGCGGCTCCGCCAGTGACCCGATCAGGATGTCGTCCAGGTCCAAGGTTGTGGAGCCTCCTAGAGTTTGGAGCCCGTAAAGGAAAAAATCCTTGTATTCCGGTCGTTCAATTTTAGGATTTTTTTTTGCATGCTTTTTGATATACGAGAACCGATCTTACTGCGCGCAGCTCTAGAAAACTAGGCGTGTAATGTATATACTTACATGGAATGCCCTCCAGATCATGGCGGATCCTGTCATTTTGAGGACAAGCATTTTGGAGAAAAATATGGCAAAATTGACTAGAACTGACTGCTGGATACCATCAAAATCAAGTGCGCCGACTTTGTTTCAAGGTTATTTAACACTAGCCGACTTCGTTTGGTTAGCCGGCTAGGCGATATGGTCAGTTGATGGCTGATGACTAATGTAGAGTTCTTGCTTTGACCATTATGGAGTACGCAATATCCTAGCATTCAACATATGTAAAGAACGTGGTGCACAGACATAACGAGTGCCACAGGCGGCATCGGCGACGCGTAAAGCTACGTTCGGCAATTGCGAGTAAAGACTCATCGGTGCAGGTCCGACTGCTGCAGCTCTAAGGCTGAGGTGTCAAGGCAAATCGGCATCGTGTAGATCTCGGATTTAAGTACATGCAGCAATTTGGCCGGGCCCGTACCCACAAGCAGACAAAACGCGCTGACGTTTGCAAACACGTGTGGGGCTGTCGGCAGCGGAGTGAGATCCTTCTGACTTAATGGATGGGACCCCACGACCAATGTGGAGGGCCCCTGGACGGAGCGAGCGAAGAGCGCCCGGCCGATTAATATTTTTGTCCCCGTCAACGGCTAGCCTTCCGCTAAACTTTGACAATCAGAGATCAATGGGGACAGCGCCTGAGCGATCGAACGGGGCTTGGGTAGGGCAACAAAAAGACACCCGTTAGCAACATAGGGACCTATAAACAAGCGAGAAGAACCCAATACCAATGTGGTGGGCCCCTGAACGATCGTGACTGCCCCGACAGGTTAACATGTAAGGTACCGGCCAAAGCGGAGGGCCTCCTGAGCAAACGGGAATAACCTAAGACCAGTGTACATGAATTAGTGCTGTTCCCTAATCACCACCCTCAATCAGCAAATAATTATTCTTGTCTGGTCGTGGGTTCTCCGATATCGCTTGTGACTATTCTTGGTCGCTGGGAGACTCGAAGATGTCCAAATTTGTTGCTTTTAGGGTAAAAAAAACTGCGCCTACTCGGCCAGCTATGGCCTCTTTAGAGCCTATTACAGGCCCCTTCGGGCCCAGCGGCGGGGGGGGGGGGGGGGGGGCACAGCCCCGTGATCTCCCCTGTGGATCCGCCACTGGGCGCTGCACAGTTCACACAGCGTGGCGTCACCATGCTGTCCGTATTGATGACGTCGTTCTGTCTCCATGACGGGAATGTTCGCCGTTTGTGTTTGAGATGGCTTGCATGACTAATGGCGTTACACAGCGCAGCTAACGTACAACATGATTGAACACAGCCTTGTAATATGACCGCCTTGAATGGATCTCGTTGCGAACGTTAACGGGATAGTCGTACCTCCACCCTCGCTCTCAGCGCTGCACGCACGCGACGCGACGCGGACCCGGTACCCAAGGTCAAGCGGTGGTTCCAAGGCGGCAGCGCCGTCACAGGACGCTGTATCTTGTCTGCAGCCGAGCCCGGCCGTCAGCGAGGAGCGCGTCCGTCAGCTGGAGAAGGAGCTGGAGCGGGCGCGCCAGGCGCACAAGCAGGAGCTGGCCAGCCTGGACACCCAGTACCGCCAGCAGCTGTCCGCCTCCAAACGCAAGCAGTGGTGCTTCAATTGCGAACAGGAGGCCATCTACCACTGCTGCTGGAACACCGCCTACTGCAGCACCGAGTGCCAACAGGTGAGTGGGCGTGCAGGCGGGGCGAGCGGCTTGAAGCGATCTGCCGAAACATTGATTTTATCAAAAGCTCTATATTTTACTCGCACTCTCTGTCTTTCCGCCTTGCTTTGGGGCCTGAAATTTAAATTTCTTGTTCTCTTTTGCCGTGCAGCCCAGCCGTAATCAGACGCCGGCTGGCGTATCGTCATTGGCGGAGTAAAGCATGACGTGACAGACGCCGGGGCTGTTGCTCAGAGCACATCGCACGTCGCACCGCCGTCGCCGTGACCCGCGTGCAGAGGCGTGGGCCGTTAACTCTCTGCGCCGCCGCCAGGTCCACTGGCACAAGGAGCACAAGCGTGTCTGTCGCCGTAAGCGCACGCTGTGAGCGGGGCCCCGGAGGGGTGAGACGGTCGGAGCGGCCGTGCCGGGCCCTGGCTGCCGTGTGCGGCGGGCGAACGGCCGTCAGCGGCGCCTGCGGACGCCCGTCATGTGGCGGCGTACCCGCGAGAACGGAGCCACCCGCCGACCGGCTACCGTGTGCGACAGTGTGCCGACCTGCGGACCGAGATTGGCCGGGCGCGCGACGTCACGCCTCGCCGCCACAGTCAGTCCAGACGCCTCGGGACCCGGCGGCCGGGCCCTGTATACTGAGCTTAGCCATAGGGGTTCTGCGTATCATGTGCTTACCTGTCCTGTCCCATTCTTGTTCGGCCTCTCCCCAGCCTACGAGTGAACAGGCTTGCCAGATCGTGGCCCTGCCGGTCCAGAGCACGGGCATTGTCTCTAGCAAATCGTGGGGTGCCAGCCTGTCAGCGCCGCCTCTGTGAAGGCAGAAGTCACTGGGCCTGTGGACGTGCCGGCGGCGGGGCCCACCCGGCGCCCGTCCGGTGACGGGAGATTCCGGCGTGCCAGTGAGGCTCGTGTGCCACTGTCGCTGCCGGGGGGCACGGGTTGCAGCGGCCGCGCTCAGCTGCGGCGAGAGGCGACGCGTTCGTGTAAATACCGTAGCCAGGGCATTGGATCGGTCTTTCGCTCGGCGGGCCGCGGCGGACACCAGGGCGGCGCAAGTGGCCAGGCGCGGCGCCACGCTAGTCGGCATGTGTGCTGTGCATCGATGACGAGTTAATCCCGGCTTGGCCTCCCACACACTGCACCCCGTGCAACCATCGTGTCGATCATGCAGCATGCAGTGATTTGGGCTCATTTGTGACCGAGTGTGGTATCCAGGCGTGGCGGAGCCGGCCGATTGTATGACGTTTGCGACGTGTTATGTTAGAGTGTGATGTGTTTACGCTATGCACCGGCCGGGACGCGTCAGTGATTTTAGTGTGCGCACCCGTGGTCTATGAGGTCCCCAGCATGGACCGACCGGACAGGCTGCTACCGCACCAATCATAGCAAATCGTTGTGAGTCGTGCAATGACGCATTTCCGTAGTGTTGCCCAGTGAACGTGTGCCACAACGGGATGGTTATCCAGAGGCTCTTTCTGTGCACGTGTGTGTGCTCTGTGTGACCGATCGTTGGTCTTATCTGTCCTGAATTTGCGTACACGTGCCTGTGTATGGGTCTCTCGGACGATGTTTCAATATTCGGATAATCGCCATTGCAAGGCCTCGAATCACCCCATTTTCTCCAACGCCCAGCCTTCACCGGTTCAGACGTGCTGTGTGCCGGTGCGTCCTGTCGATCCGTAGGGCGTCCTTCACAGGGCCTGTCGGTCCGTAGGGTGTTCTTCAGGGCCTGCCGGTCCGTAGGGCGTCCTTCAGGCCCTGTCGATCCGTAGGGCGTCCTTCACGGGGCCTGTCGATCCGTAGGGCGTCCTTCACGGGGCCTGTCGGTCCGTAGGGTGTCCTTCAGGCCCTGTCGGTCCGTAGGGCGTCCTTCAGGGCCTGTCGGTCCGTAGGGCATCCTTCAGGGCCTGTCGGTCCGTAGGGCTGCCTCCGCTGGGCTTGTGGGTCCATAGGGCTGCGTTCGCGGAGCGTGTACTCTGTTCCATCGTTATCACGGCACGTGTGGAAGGGGTGGCGTGTCGCTGGGCTGAAGCGGCCAGCGTTCACTACCACTGGATCTTGCCCAGGCGCGCGTTGTTGTAATACATGTGCTCGCTGACGGGGTCTGTGGTCGCGGCGGCGGCGGAAAGTTGCTGAAGCATCAGGATGGGACAGATGCGTCTAGAATAAACCCTGCGCTATGGTGTCGCGTTCAGATCGGCTACACATGAACAAGGGCTGAGTGGCGCCAAATGGCCCTTGTCTGTAATACAATAAAATGGGTTGGCCTGACATGTCATTAATGTCACTGTACGGCTTAAACGGTTTAAACTGCGCTGGGGTCAAAAAGGCTAGCTGTTGGCAGTCTACTGTGTCGCCATCTCGGATCGAGCGTCGCTGACGTCACTGCTTCTACTTTGCCGCGCTGACGCGTGAGATGCGGTGTTCCGCGCCCGACCCATTTCGTTGTCTCTCCATTACCCAGGCAGCGGAAGGCTGAGAACTAGTCTTATCTAACTGTGCCCAATTCTAAGTATTGGTAGAGCAGGGATTGAGCAGGGTATCTGGGAAACCAGAGACACGGGGTTGCATTTCCTGCCTTGTCCGTACCAGTGGCAGACCCAGTGGGAGGGGCACAGGGCCGTGCCCCTCCGGCCCCGAAAGGCCCCTAGGTTAAAGGCCCCTGGGTCGGGACCCACGTTGTGATGTAGACATACTCGCTTTCTTAGTCCATATTACTTTTATCATTATTTATAGCCGTCCAACCCTATAGGTACGCATATCAGGTGCGGGGCGATATGTAAATGAATCAGTTATCACTGAGTGGTATGCAGTGGAGTTTCCGAGAGGACGAGAAATGGTAATGTAGTCGACGCGCCCATAAGCCCTTAATATCATCAACCAATATTTGCTCCGAAGAGACCCGTAGCCGGCCGGGCAGAGGCAGTTGTTTTTTGCCCCACACGGAACAGAATTGGACGTCTTTGGGCCTCCAGGTGACCAAGAGCAGTCGCAAGCGAAAGTGAAGGACCCACGTGTAAACAAAAATAATTGCTTGCTAGTTGAGAGTGGTCACTGGAAGGTTTTAAGGATCATTAGGCTGACCAGAGGCTCTGCAATGTTGCCGGGGCCCTATGCGTCCACATGCATGGCCAATGCGATTGCAAAGGAGCGTCCCACGTTGACCTTGATTTCTTTGCATTTGCTTGGAGGGTTTTACGACGTTTTTTTTGTGGCCCTGTCTTCTAGCATGCCGGGGGAGTCATCGATCAGAACCCTCCACGGATTATTCACTTTATTCACGCTGTGCAATGCGCGCCTTTGCAATTATTTTCAAGCTTTCGATAACTGCTTCGACGTTGTTACGATGCGTCCGGAGGCGTCAGACACTGCTAGCGGCCTTGGCAGAACCCTCAGGGACTTTTAGTATTTCTCTGGCCTGCGCGTGGCTCTACTCCTGCTCCAGATGACCACACCGTCCTTGCATGCACACTATGCAAGGACAGGTGCAGTCGGTGTCTGCCGGTCTGGAGGTCGCACGTGCTGTCAGGGATGTCACCATGTCCCAGCGTCACCGCCTCGAACGCCTTTGGGCGGAGCTGACGTCCGACGCGGAGCGCCTAAGAGTGGGCTATCCCAGGTTGCGACGCCCGATGCGACCACCTCGGCGACTGGACGAGGGCGCCGAGCCACACCAGCATGCCTGTCCAAAGACCGCTGCCGTCAGGTGCAGTGCGAACCCGTCGACTGGCTGGCCGGCTTCATCAGCGGTCGGCTCGGCTCTGATGAGCCCATCCTGGCCACGGCCGAGAGAGCGCTCTTCACGGCCGAGAGAGCGCTCTTCACGGCCGAGAGAGCGCTCTTCACGGCCGAGAGAGCGCTCTTCACGGCCGAGAGAGCGCTCCTCACGGCCGAGAGAGCGCTCTTCACGGCCGAGGGAGCGCTCTTCACGGCCGAGAGAGCGCTCTTCACGGCCGAGAGAGCGCTCTTCACGGCCGAGGGAGCGCTCCTCACGGCCGAGAGAGCGGCTCTTCACGGCCGAGAGAGCGCTCTTCACGGCCGAGAGAGCGCTCTTCACGGCCGAGAGAGCGCTCCTCACGGCCGAGGGAGCGCTCCTCACGGCGGAAGAGGACGCCCTGGTGGCAGCCGCCACCTTCCACGACCTCGACCTGGAGCGACTCCGCCTCCACTGCCAGATGTTGGTGGATGTGGCGTCAAGCCAGAGAAAGGCACCACTGACCTCCCTCGACGACGTGGTGGCCCTACTGAGCGATGAGGGCCTGCGGCAGGTGCTGCCAGCCGCTGCCTCGCTGCTACGTGTGGTTCTGACCGCCCAAGCAGCATCGTGTACGGCAGAGCGGGCGTTCAGCCTTCTTTGTCGTCTGAGGGGATGGCTGCGCTCCACTCTAGGCCAGGGGCGGCTAAATCACGCCGCAGTGCTGGCCACATACCCAGACGTGGTGGCCGCCACGGATCTGCAGGCCGAACTGAAGCAATTCGCCTCGACGTCAAGTCAGCGGTATAGCACTTTTGGCCGTTGGTAGATCATTAAGTGCCAGTACCTACCGCCGCTGTCCAGCGCCTAGCAGCCGTCGCTATCGTCCAATGGTATGCCGCCGCCATTACGACTGCCCTGTGTTATGCTGCCACCGCTGCTGTTGTATGCTACTGCTGAGCCACCGCCGCCGCCGCCGCTTTTGTACTGTGCTGCACCAACGCTCACGGCGGCTCAAGCAAGGCTGCTTCTTAAGTTTGCAACAGCGCGATGGCCACCCCTCCTCAAGGCAGGGGGAGGAGCTTCATTCTTTTTATTGGGATAGAAATGTGTTACTTGCGACCGAAAATACATAGGCCAGTCAGAAGAATTTTGTAATTGTGATGTGGGACTCGATGATCCTACTCTGTTTGTTGGCTGCTTTGGGGGACTGAAGGGGTGGTATGGTGGTAATGGCCTCCCACAACGCGACTAGGAGATATAAAAGTGTTTTTGCGAAAAAGTGACAGATTTTGTCGTCAAAGTGTGCAGTGCACCTTTTTACACTCGCTATCATTTCTGCTTTTAGTTCATAAGAACCGAAATACACTTTATAGAGTGGAAAGAATCATAAAACGAAAATTAAGTGAGTGTAGCTCGGCTAGTTTTTTGGGGGGGAGGCAAGTGAAGGCTAACCAATTAATCCAGCATTTGTTTTTACGTTTGCTTGGCGGGCTAATCGGCCATTGGGTTGGGCCCCCTGCAAAACTTTCAATAAATCGAGACCCCTGGTTGGTGCAACGACAAACTCTTTCAGTGGTGACGAGCCGGCCTTTTCTGGAGTTACGGATGACAATACAAAGTTCTCTCATGCGTGCGCGACGGATGCAACCTTGCTCAAACAATGTCGCTGTGGGAGCGTTATCAGACGCCAACATAAACTGCTGATCGGAAGACATGGCCTTTTCTGCGCTATGACAGTGCATTGCCGACCATGGCCAAAGCCGACCGGAAGCGGGGTGACCAGCATACGGTGGCCGACAAAATGGCTTATATGCGCACGTCAAGGCAGCCACTGGGTACATTCGTGGGTACTCTTCTACAGCCATCAGCTAGCTGCGCAACAGCTGTCTTTTGTGACGTCATCATTGTTTTGCCAGTAGCTGTCCCAACGGCGGATGCACTCAGTGCTGGCGAGCCGGCAATTTTCGAGTTACGGGTGACAAAATAAAATGCTTCTATATTTGGGCGGCGGTTACGACCATACTCAAACAATGCCATTGTGGGAGCCTATGAAATGCCAATATAAATCGTCGATCGGACAGCGTGTCCTTTTTGCGCCATGACAGTACATTGCCGACTGGGACCAGAGCCGACCGGTAGGGTGATGCCACGAATGCGGCAGCCCGGCAAAATCACTTATAGGCGCACACTAAGACAGCCATCGCGTGTATTCGTTAGCACTCTTTTGCATTTACAGCTGCCTGGATGTCCCCACTGCGTAGGCACCCAGTACCGCCGAGCCGGCCATTTCTAGGGGCGCGATGACAATATGAAACGATTGTATGCGTGTGCGGCGGGTGCGGAGCCCAACAGTGAGGACCCTTTGTTTCAGGGACCTCGACGAGTGCAGATCGCGGGCTCCGGCTTTGTTTTTGATCGGGAAATCTCGGAGGCACTGCCCACTGCCTGCCTAACAATCCAAAATGCACTTTTAATCTTTATCCTGGCAAAGGGCAATGGGACCTCCTCCCCACTTCAGTTCTTCCAGCATATATTTGGTAAGTCGCGTAATTGCACCAAGACATTCAGGAGGATTGGGGAGGACTTGAGGAGGATTCATTGAGCATGTTTAGACACAACATCGT